AACGCTACGTGTTTTTGTTCACGTGTGTTTTGTACTACTTTGGAAAGCTTAGCGTTTCTTCCCTGCATTGCTTGCATCCTTAGCGACCGGCTTAAGCTACATGCTGCATGCATGCAAGTTTCAAGCAAACAGTAACTAGGCTCGCTGCTTTCATAGAGTCTACCTTTGGTCACCTAAGCCGCAGAAGTACACGCCTTGCGCCTTAGGCTGGCACGCCGGCACGCATTGCTAGGCACATGGAAAGCTCAAGCATAGAGCCCTCGTGGGTTCCGCACCGCACAGGTCTAGTCAACGACCCCATTGTCGCAAGCACTGCGACCGAGACATCGCAGGCATCGCAGCCGATACCGGTCCCGGCGCAACAGGATATGCACGCAATGCAGCTTGAGCACCAGTCGCACGCATTGCAACTTGAGGTTTTGCAATCTCAGCTGGTCGCTTTGCAAGCACGCATTGAAAGGCTGGAACGGGACAAGCAGTCGGCCATGCAAGCATTAATACCGCAGCACCCCGCATGGCACGTGATTTGCAGCCCTTTCTCGTACATTGTGCAACGCATCGAAGCTCTCGAAGCATTAGCCTGCAGCAATCTCAATGCACTGCAAGCCTTCGCATCAAGACCAGGCCCGTTTGCTCCAGCATCCACAATATCGGTAGATTGACCTGCAGAGCGCCGCTCGCTTAGCCCGGCCCCCCCCCCGCCTGCAAAGACATGTGTTTCCACTGCTCAGGTCCTACTTCGACATGTTCGCGAACACCCTCCTGCCGCACCGCATGCATGCCAGAAGCTTATAGAGTCTGTTTCGCTTTCGTTGATTCTTGAGGCCATGCTCTGCCAGCGCTCAGCTTTGCATTGCCTCGCCGCTCTGTGCAGATCAAGGGGTTGCGTAAGGCAGTACGGCAAGCACCCAACCGAAGCCCAGCACCCCCTCACAGCATAGCACTGCACCGCATGGACGCCATGATTGGGGTCGGCTCTGCACTGGCCATTTTGGAGTCCTGCCCCGATGCAGAGCTCGCCCCCGCACTGCTGCAACGCCCGGAGCTCACTGCCAGGCTCCGCAAGTTGGTGGGCACCGCATTGCCCACTCAGCCAGCGCAGGCACCGCAGCCGGCACCGCAACAGGCACCGCAACCTCAGGCATCGCAAAGCTCAAGGCGCCAAGCACCGCACCGCCAATGATGGCTGTGCCTGCCTTTGGGGGCGGCACCGTCTATGTGCATACCGTCCCGCAGTGGTCGGTGCCACCCGCACCGCAACCGGAGCCGGAGGGACCTCCAGCACCGCACCTTTGGGAAGCCCCGGCACCGCCAGCTCAGCGCAGAGACCCTTGGGATAGCTACGCACCGCACCGCCCGGACCCCTGGGAGGAGCACTGGTCACGGCCAACGCAAGCTGATGATTGGGAGAGAGTGCCACCGCGACGCAAAGGCAGAGGCAAGGCAAACTATGCAGACTACGATGCATGGCGCGCAGCACAGCAAGGAGCCGACGCCTGGGATGCGGGCTCATCCTGGGAGAAAGGCGGCAAGCCCTCCCCCGCACCGCGACCTGCACCGCAGCCCGCACCGCAGCCGGCACCGCAGCCTGCACCGCAACCCGCACCGCAGGCACAGGACTGCGCAGTCATGCAGGTGAGCTCGCAATGCAACAGCATTGTAAAGTGGTCGGTTCGCAACCGCCCACTTTACAAAAACAGCAGAGGCAACTTGGCGTGCGCATGGGCCTGCACGCGCACGCACTGCAGGCACGGCAGGCCACCATGCGGTTTCACCGTCAGGGACCCCCTGACGGACAACCATGCAGCGCACGCATGCTCGCTACGCAAGAAAGATGACGGCGACTAGCACGCATTGCACCGCACAGGAAAAAAGGGGCGGCCGCATGCAAGCTCTAGCGCATCATGCCGTTGCCCACGCACAGCTCTTTTTTCGCCTGCCTCGCTCTGCCCAGGTCTCATCGGCCGCATAGCCGACTCGAAGGCTGGCTGCATGACACCCTTCTTGCCTGGCCAATCAGCACGCATCGCATTTGCACATCAAGGCCGCCAGCCTGCTCCTGCCTCGCATAGCAAGGACCCAAGCTAAGCACTTCACCCTTCGCAAGCCAAGCCCCCAAACTGCGCAGGCACATCGAACTTTGGCCGGGCCCTCAGCAATGCAGTTTTCTACCTGAGTGGCTTCAACTTGCATAAGCACGCACTGCTTCAGTTCTTAGGTTCAAGCTCGCATTACAGTCAACGCAGTTTACCTTTGCATGCTCATACTTCTTAGCTGGCGGGTTCTTTAATGCACTCTCCCCTCGAAGCCATAGACCTCACGGGGGATGACGAGGCAAACCGCGTGGTGGTCAACAGATATACTAAGCCCTCGACACTGCAATGCATTCCGCACGACGCACCAATCCAAACAAGCAGGTCCCGCACGCCACCACTGATGCAAAGCACAGCAAAATGCAAGCCAGCACCCTCAGGTTTGCAACCCCCCACCTTTGTAGCAAGACCCTACCCTCTCCCCAACACGGTGCACATTCAGATGCAAAACACAACGCATCGCAGCTCTCACGCAGCACCGGGTTTACAAACGTATAGGCCCCGGCCGTACGTCCCACCGCCGGGGAACCCACTGCCACCGCCCGTTGGCCTCCGCTCAGCATTGCCCCGCGTGGCCCTACCGGAACTCTGTTTGGGGGGCAAAGCACCGCCACCCCCTCGGCCAACCCCACGCAGCTTACTCAGAAGACCTATCTCCCACCCAACGCCGATTGGCACGCAAGCATCGCACCCTCCGGCAACAAAGGCTGGCACCAGCACCCCGATGCCCAGACCGCAATCGGGGAACAAGCCAACACCACTACCCCCAGCACCCGTAGCCCCCCAGCAGGCTTCGACCACCAGAGCACGCAACGAAGCCGCTCGCAAGCTATGCGAGCAGAACTTCATGGATCTTGTGCACCGCATTGGCCCCGCATGCGACGCATTCCAACAGCTCAGCTCGTCGCCGCACTTCGACAAGCACCTTAGGAGGCTTCTAGCCCAGTTTGCGGCCAGCACACTGCAGAGATATCTGCGAGCCTGCCATGTATTCGCCGACTTCCTTTCGACGCAGGCATCGCAATCGGGCAAACCCAGCATGGAGCACATCAGCATACAGCTGCTCGCGGACTATATGCTAACATGCGCCGCAAGCAAACAAGAGGACAGAGAGGTTCACCAAATGAGCCCGAACTCCAGCATCAAGGCACTACGATGGCTCGCCAAGACGATCACCTGGCAGGCATTAGCGGAGGCAATGAGCTCAGCAGTGATATCAGCATACGCAAAGCAAAGCAGGGAGGTGGATCGCAAAGAAGCATCCCCTATACCTATGGTACTCATGGTCGCGTGGGAGATGATGGTATGCAATCCGTGCACGCCCTTCACTACGGTCCTCTTTCTCGGGGCCGTCCTGGTCTGCACGCACGCAAGCCTCCGATTTGGAGACGCACAGCGCATCGAGTGGCATACGCTCCAGTTGAGCGCGCAGGGCTTGCACGGCACCGCATATGCAACCAAGACCACCAAATTTGGTCAGCCGTTTGCCTGTACTTGGCACGGCATTTCTGGGAGAGACGCAGACTCCTCCTGGGTGTTGAAGTGGCTAGCCAGCATCGCAGCTGTGGCGGAACAGGCGCCACTTGCACCCGATTTTATCTTTTTCCACGCCGATCTTGGCACAGACACGCGCCCACACACATTCCCCTGCAGCTACGCACAAGCATTGCTCTGCCTACGCTACTTAGCACAGCAAGCAGGACTGGACCCGGCAGAGGCTGCCGCCCTGACGCTCCACAGCATGAAGACGACGCTCTTAGCTGCAGGGGCACAAATGCACTTCGCGGAGCAAAGCAGACTGGCACAGGGGCACCACAGAGACAGCCTGCGCCTCTACAGCCGCAACGATACACTGGAAGCCCTCCGCTTGCAACGCGAGATGGCAGAGCAAATCGCCACCGGGTGGCGCCCACAGCGCAGCATGGCCAGGGGGGGAGCCGCCCCAGTGCCAGAACCCCCCTTCGAAGTTTCGCCCGCACTGCCACCGCGCTTCCTGCCACGAGGCACTCTTGGCAGGACCGTGGAGCGTATTCACATCCAGGCACGAAAGCATGCACTCGAGCTCCAATGGTCCTGCGCAAAGCACCGCGCAGGGCCCCGACACGCAAAAAGAGCAGCAGTCCGCAAGCGATCCAGAAGCGGACATGGTGGCAAGGCATGCGGCCGCAAACCCAGACGACTCCGACGACGACTCGGAAGACATGCAAGGCACCCCGGCACCGGAAGAAGAAACTTTCGTCTGCTCCGGGCCTTGGAATGCACTGCACACGCCTACCGCCAGCTCTGCCCGCGAATGGAGACTCCTTTACGGAGCTGAACCTGGGCACAGTTGGGTGCTGCAAGCCGCATGCGGAGCTCAGCTAGGGGATTTCCCGGTAGTTATTAACACGCATGACCCCGTCTCAGCATGTAGACGCAAAGCGTGCATACTGGCGCGCACCGCACAGCAGGCATAAAAAAGACAATCATGCACACGCGTGGCACGTATAGCTTTGCATCCTACTATATCCGTGCCGCTGGCTCAGGTCGCCAACAAGGCTGGCAGCATGCCCCTGCAACTTGCACGCTCTGTTCTTCTTGCCGGCACAGAAGCCACTTTGACGCATTGCAGCCTGTGGCTCAAACACATATGAACCACCCTGCAAAAACAGCACGTTCACATTTACAGTCTTTTAAGCAAGTTCTCTGCACCGCAAGCACAGCCCCATGGCCGCTGACAGCTCTGGGTTGGACGGTGGCACGCAAGCCACGCACGCACTGCATGATGAACTGAACAATGAGTCTGGCTTGCACCGCATCCTGCAGGACCTGCACCTGCCCCAGGCCTTCGAGGACGCACTGCACACGCAAGGCATTAAGTGCATTGCCGACTTTTCCTACGCCTATGCAAGCACCTCGGACCTCGACTCCTTCGCAAGCAACAGAGGAGATGAATTCTGGGCACAGCTCGGGGTCACTGACCCACTGCACTGCATGCACATGGCCAGACTACGCAGAGCATTGGTCCAGGCGCAGATACGCACCAAACAGTACGAGGCAGAGATGGCACGCACCGCATCTCCTCCCTCGCCGGCAGGCACAGCACCGGCAGCATCCAGCAACGCACCGCCCTCGGACTCCTGGGTGGAGCACGCACCGCAACGCATCGACAACGACACGGTCGCACGCATGGTTGCAGAGTTCAAGGAGTCCTACCCGGGGGAGCTCCTCGACAGCAACAGCATGCCCAGCATCCGCCTGCTCAGCCTGGTCAATGCATGGTTCAGCACTGCAAAGCCACGCATCAAGTATGTGCCCTGGCAATTCCGCCTGTCGCAACGCCAGTACACGGAGATCGTGGAGGCACGCGCTTACAGGGTCGTGCGCACAGAGGCACAGCTCGTCAGCACCGCAATCAGCACCGCACTGTTCGACGACACGCCCACCATCGGCATCGAGTCGCACAGCATCAACGAGTCATGGCTTGGTGCTCGGCAGCGCATCTTCCGCAACGCAATAGCGCTCTGCAAAGGCGCGCATCTTGCAGTCCTCAAAGCACTGGATGCGAACTTAAGAGGCGAAGATCCTGGACCTTTGCACGCAAGTCTGGAAGCCTGGACACGGACTCCGCAACGTCAGCACAGAGGAAATGTTAGAAGCTGACCGAAAGATTTGGCACTGCATAGCAACTCTTGTAGAGGAGCAGAACTTCTCCCTGGACGAGGCACTGCACGAGATGACTCATGTGAGGGGCGACGTGCACAACCTGCTGCAAGCACGTGCACGCACCTACGCACCGCCTCCGCAGCCTGCAGCACCGCACACGCCGTGGCGCCCAAAAAAGGGCAACGGCAAGGGCAAAGACAGGCCCGGCAAGCCCGCAAGCCCTATTGCACCGCACCGCGCCATAGACAAAGATCAGACCGCGGCGACGCTGCTGGCAAAGGCAATGCAAAGCTTGCAGCTTTCGCACGGCTCCAAGACGCTCTGCCTTCGCTACAACCGCACGCAGTGCAACAACGCGAACTGCAAGTACGAGCACCGCTGTGCGGTGCGGATGCCCAACGGGCAGGCTTGTGGCGGGCAACACCCAGCACATAAGCATCGCTTTAAAGTCAAATCACAGACGGACTCGGAAGGCACCGCCAGCACCGCAGCCTCCTGAAGTGGCCGGGGCGAGGTAGGCGGGGCCTCGCTTTCGGCTGAACCGCACCCGCCCGGGAAGGCCCAGGCACCGCAGACGCAGCACCGCACTGCAAAACCGGAACGCAGCAGGACGCCGGAAAAGAAGCCTAGAGACTCGGCACCGCCTGGCATGACGGACACCCTCGCACCCCCCGCAGAGCAGTCCAAGAGATTTTTTTTTGCATGCATCGACACAGCCCAGCATGAATTCTCGCAGGCCGTTGTGGACCGGGGCCTGCACTGCCTCTCACCGCCAGCGACAGTGGAAGACGTGGACATCATACTGCGGGACGATGCAGAGGCTCACAAACTACTACAGCTTGCATACTCCGGCATCGTTGGGCTTTTCTGGGGTGGGGACCTGGACCGCATTGCAGATGACAACATTTCTCTACGAGTATTGAGCATTGCCAAAGCAATAGCAGAAACCGCAGGGCATTTTCTATTGGTCCTTCCTGCAATCCTTCCCCAGCACTGGCTCGCATTCCTTCAGGAGACCAACGCGCATTGCTGGCAACTGCCAGGCCCGCACGGCGCCAGACACGCAGTGTCCTCCCTGCAAGAGCTGGCACAACTGCAAGGCACATCCAT